GAGGAGGAGGAGGAGGAGGAGGAGGAGGAGGAGGGACCCCCGGGTCGGGGTAAGTTTGTAGGCCTTGCCCCCATTCTGTGTTTTTATTTTTTTTCTGTCCCTTTTTTCCGTGAGCACAAATTTGTTTTTTGTGCCAAATATGCTCCAAAAAATGCCCAACTGTCATGTATGGTCGATTTTTCGCCAAATATGCTCAATTCGACCATATACATGTGCTCGACTTCTGCCCAAAAATTAAGTCTGCTTTTCTGCTTCTTGATGCCCGAGCAGATCAGGGCAAGGCCTATAAGTTGAAGATAACCTTTGTACACCCGTAGTGGCGGATTCGAGACCCCTCCCGATCTCGTTTTTTTTTTTTTTTTTTTTTTTTTTTTTTTTTTTNCGAGCAGATCAGGGCAAGGCCTATAAGTTGAAGATAACCTTTGTACACCCGTAGTGGCGGATTCGAGACCCCTCCCGATCTCGTTTTTTTCTTTTTTTTTTTATGCGTTTGAGATGAATCTACACCTCTCTAGAGGTCAAGGTCGAGAGAAAAATTGGCAACTCGTTGTTTGTTACACCAGTTAAGCTCCTTGATTGCGCTAAACCAACCGTTGGTCCCTTGTGCAAGGGTCTACTATTGTTTGTTTGTTTTTCTCCCATCATTGGACTCTGTCGTCTGCCCCTCTGGCCCCTATCCTCCACTTCTACCAGCTAGACGACCCAACCGGGGTCACATAGGAGGGGGGGGGTTGGACCCCCTGCTGCGGTTCCTGCCTGCGATATTTTTATCGCGAGAAGGGTACAGCAATCCCTTCCCTCGCGACTCATGAAGTCGATCAAGTATACTAGCAACGAGCTTTGCAGCGCGTCGCTTCCAACGGAGACCAGGATTTGACAAGCGAGAAAAAACTCACTCTGTCGGGACTCGAACCCATGACCTGGCCCTTAGCAGGCTGCGAGGCTACCCACTAGACCACCGGGGCGACCGGTATTATGTAGCCTGCATTATGTCCGAAGATTGGTTTCGACTGAAGTTGGATCACGGGTCAAAACCCCTTGAGGACAGGCAGGACAGGATCACTCCTGCTGTCGTGCGCTACGAAATTCGGGGCAATCGACTGAAATCAAAGCCTTCAAAGCGAAGTGGGGGCGATCCATATGGTTGTTGTTGTTGTTGTTGTTGTTGTTGTTGTTGTTGTTGTTGTTGTTGTTCACATTAAAAAACCGTCCCGGTCTCCATATGGTAATAAACTGGTGGTCCCGGTTTAGCGGTTCCTTGTTTAGCGGGATGCCCCGAATAGCGGGATGCCTCAAAAATTGGTGGCGCGGCTGCACCGCGGTAGTCAAGCTATTTACAAACCATGTAGCTGCCAATCCTTTTGAGCGGCGATGCCCTCGGTAGTGGCTATGGCATATTGTGGCACTATCGACCGCTAAACCGGGGCCACGACTGTAAATGAAATCTCGCTTACAATTCTAAATTGTAGTTTGTTTCTATCGACCTACCTGTGTGGGTCTTTGTCGTTCCTGATTTATGTTCACGTTGGTTTTCGCAGGAGCCGCCCAGCGCTGCAAGTGTATACTGTACGTCGAATTGTTGCCATCCCTGATTTGTTTTATCTTGCTTTTTTGCAGGAGCCGGCCAACGCTGCAATTGACTTTTGTCGTATCATTGCCATCCCTGATTTATTTCATCTCTTTTTTTTGTTTTTTTTTGCAGGATCCGCCCAGCGCTGCAAGTCTTCGGATTCGACCCCGCCGTTTCGACTTCCCCCCGCAACGCGTGCGGCATGCCAAATGCCTCCTCGCCCGAGGGGGTGGGGGACACGCGGCTGCTGTCCCCGTACCATCACCCGGTGATCATGCGGAGCCTCGAGGAGGCGGCCTTGACGACGGGGGGAGGGGCTGCTGATGTTCCTCCGGTTCCTTCGGTGCAATAAAAGAGTGAGCATAAAAACAGGCTTCGGGCCTTGTCGTGCGTGGCCCGAAGAATTAGGAAGTTGAGCTCGGAGTTGGGGATGGCAGCAGGAGGGGGTTTACCCATGTAAACGCATGCCGTGAAGTGGTTAGACCGCTGATCTCGCATCCCTTCGACATGCCGGCACGGAGCGGTTTTCGCCGTCCCAGGCTATCACATCGCAACGATGAACCAGGGAAAGGAAGGGCGGGGCAAGAGAGTACGAGGGACAAGGAAGAGGCGCGATAAGGATGGCATGCTGACAATGCCGTGCTTGCTTTTTTCGGGGAGGAGCGGGGCGGGTTATTGGTTGTCTTGGCTTGTCTCCACCAGGGACTTATTTGCCCGCGACGAGAGGGCCTTGACTTGCAACATCGTTGGTTTAGAGTTTGGTTTCTGAATTATGCCGTATCCTGTCAGGCACTGCACGGCATCCACCTAAGTAGAGTACAGTGGGGGTCCCTCAATATTTCCGGTGAAATCGCGTAACACGCAGATGGGATAATCAAGTTGTGTCATTCTCTGAATTGTGCCGGGGAAAGCGCCGCCGTGACCGGTGAATCTGGCGGGCACATGCCGTCGCTACTGAGGGACCCACCCACCCCACTGTACTTGGTATTTCAGCAGTAGCGTCGGAGACGTCGTTCGGGTTGTTGCCTGACCGCCGTACGGTCGCACCACGACCGTACTGTCTGTATGGTATATGACAGAAGGAGGGGGGGGGGGGTTTCCCTTGTTGGTGACCTAGAGGGCCCCGGCAAAGGAGCGCATGAAGATGCTGCTGCTGCTGTGAAGGGCAGAGCTCACCAGTGTCCTGCATGATGTGTGATCTATTCTGCGTGTGTCGTGTGTTCTGCTCTGGGCGCTATTCTGCTTCACTTTCGGTGTATGTACGCTTGGGGAACTAGCCGGGGAACTACACTTTGACTATATTGCTCGTCCTTTTTTATCTCTTTTTTTTTTGGCGAAGACGTTCTCGTGCCTATAGGGCATGGGGTTTATTTAATCTTGTCGGCAAACGAACATCCCGACGATGAACGCTACAGCAGCAGTACCCAGCTTCTTGGAGGGGGTAGATACCTCTATTATTCATACTTGTACTGACTGCGTAGTTGCATTTTTGTCCAAGCTGCCGAAGAACAACGGGTCCTATCGCATCATTTTTTTTTTCTGAGTATGACCCAACGAATCCATCTCTATCCAAGGAAAGAGTCTAAGGTAGATTAGCAATGAATCCATGGCGTCAGCGAAAGTTCTGTTTTTCCACGGTTTCCCGAGCAACACACAGTGATATCTCCCCCATGGGCAACAGGGTCAACAAAACAATTTGTTTTTGATTTTTTGTGCGTTTCGTCCTTCAGTCCCTGATGTGGTACACAAGTAGTCTGGAAGCTTTTGTTTTTGTTTGTTTTCGTGCATCATTTGTGGGGCTTTCTTTACTCACGGTCTAAACTGTTACTTGTTGTTTCTCCGTCATGTGAACGCTTTGTTCGGGGGTTCAGCAGTAGCTTGTGACGGGCACGAAAGGTACTGTCGCTTTGTCTTGAAGGAGTTGGGGGAGAGGACGTGCTGTAAAGAGGTTGGAGAGAAGAGTGGTTCACGTGAAGGAAACCGCACAATTTACTACCAAGTTTTGTTTGTATGTTTAGGGGGATAGGGGGGGCGTTGTCGTAACGTAATCTGTGATGAACGCAACTATTAGCTGCTGTTGTCATTATAAAGAAGAGGGGGGCGGGGGTTAGGGGGTGCCATTAACCATTAACTGCTGTACATTGGTACATACCAGACTTGTATTTTGTGTCCCTTGGACTCTGTCTCTGGATTTAAGTAGCACTGCCTCTACCTTTTATATGAGTACCACTGTGGGTCGAGGAGAGTGAGTGTTGAATCCTCGGAGTGGATGGATTATGTTGGATTGTATTCCGGGAGGATGGAATCTTGTTCAATCCTTGGCCCATTGGAGACACACTTTGCCATCCATGCCGCAACCGAAATCTCAGGTTGGTGTCTATTTCCCCCCTCGTTCCATGAAAGAAAGAGCTTGCTTGTATGGATGGCGGGTTTTCCTACTAGGTCGCGGAATGCATCGATAGCCGTTTGCCCAAGAGAACACCGAAACTTCATCATGTAGGGCAACTGTAGTACAGCTTAATTGGTGGCAAATCGTCGGTGTTTTGTTGAGCTTTCGTGTCGTCGTAGTCGGTAATAAGCAGGATTACCTGTTGCTTGGCAGCAAAGATCATGGATGACGCCACACAACACGCACGCATGTTTGAGAAGTTAGGCCTTCCCTGTGTTTTGCATCGAAGTCGCTACTTCCCTCGTCCTCTCGAAGAAAGGTTCCATTCGCGATGCGCTGCTTCCCTGCGATGGAAGGATGTTATGAGATACACGGGTGTGAATTGATTTCTAGAAAGAGAGGTGTGCCCCTTCCCGCGGGGGTAGACTAGATGGCTTGCTACCACGGAGGCGTCTGCGTTAGTTGGACCAGTACGGATATGACAAGGTACTGCGCGGAGACCGGAACGGATTTTAATGTGACGACAACAACGATACCGTACGTGAGCCGGAGGGGCGACAGGAAAATGGAACACTACAAGTGAGAATAACCCTTGCTCCGTTACGAGCAAAGGTCCCTGAAGTGGTGAATAACCGTTCACCAACGGAGGTATTTTCGCTCTTATTGCAATGTGGCAAGGAATGGCCAAGCGTGGCTGACGTTAGTCAGTCTTGCTAGGGTGAAAGGTGAGAGTGAGCTTCAGGGCTCGCTTCCACCCTCCGGCTGGTCACAGCAGACGGAGGGTCTTTTCGTTGTAAAGATCTTCAGACCTCGAGAGCGTCGTTCCTAGGGTCACGGATCTATACGGTTGAATGTGCGTCCCTACTACTGGGAAGATACCTAGATCTATACATATCCTGGTTTCCACACACGGTGTAGTCTAATGGGTTTATTCCCGTTTGGCAGCAGGAACGTCACCGTCACCTTTAAGGAGGACCGACTCGACGATCATAAAACCAGTTCAAAGCGGCGATGGTCCCCTCAACATCAACGCTTGACCAGCACGTCTTGGAAGAGTTAGCTGTTCGACTTCTTTGCTGTGGGCTATGCATAGCTCTTGCCACACGCCATCTCTCGAGGACAACATGCTTCAACGCCAGCACACCCCACCCACCCTCGCTTCCTACGACGACTCTTTCCATTGATTGTTGAAGAGCGACTCGACGAAGCTCTACCGAGCTTGGCAAAATATGTTGCCAAATAAATACGTACAATCTCTCTGTGCCCCTAGTTCGATCGAATGTGCCCGCTCCCTCCCCCTTCGCTCTCGCGCAAGCAACACACACAAGACACCCAAGTATGTATGAACATGTAGACTTTGTATGAACGCCCGGCCTTTGCGCTTGTCGTTAGAAGACCTCGCGTTGAACGTGTTGGTGAGCCGGCGTGTTGTCGGCCATCGTCTTTCTTGTTCGTCTTCCAGCGGCACGGTGATGGCCTCGTAATTGTTGTTTATTCATCCCACCATCACCAGTGGCTGTTGTTGTTGTTGTTGTTGTTGAGACAGGCCTTCTCTCGGCCAACCTCCAACTAACCTAAGCCCCCTCGCCTGTCCTTGGGGATCAATCTACGCTCCTTTCTGTGCTGGCACTGATCAGTTTTTTTCAGCTGTTCCCAACAAAATTGGAAGTAAACTAGCGGCCGCTTGATTTCAGGTCCTTGCAACGCGAATCAGCTCGTCGACTTCCAAAAAGACTCGTTGTAAAAACGAAAGATTTTCACATGTGCACACCCACACACACCTGATGATCGTAGCCTTTGAAAGCATTTTCTGTTTTCAGCCGCACTGAGATTGACGCCTTATCCTTGGTCAGCCGAATCTAGCGCGGTCGATACTAAAATAATGGCAACATACGCGTACCCTCCCCAAAGAGAACCACGCACATGCACCACATGCACCCCCACCACAGCCGCCAACGATAGCTCTGGTAGACAAAGAATATACAGCGCAGTGCATACACGTAGCTCTGACCGTATTCCAATCAAGAGAGAGGAACGTTGTGGGGATGATCGTCAATACACTGGGCGCTTGGCCAGTAGCAATCAAACCAAGAACTCCTTTGCATTCGCACTAAAAGAACCCGTCCCGGTGTCTGCTCCATACACCTTCTCAACATCCGCACAGGTCCACCAGCTCACGCAGACGCTTTCCGTGATCACAAGCCAACTCCTCCAAAAGACAACGCATACGATCGTGCAACAACGACCACCGGAAGAAGTAAAACCTTTGGCCCGTTCGCCGGTCCGCCACCTTCGTCGCGCGGGGGTTCGTTAATTCTCGTCCGCAGGACCCCTCCTGCAGATGTCCTCGAAGGGACGGATGCACACAACAAGTCGCTCTTGGGTCGCACTTTCTAGCAGCAGCAGCAGAAGCAGCAGCAGCCGCAGCTAGATAGTACTGGGGCAGAGAGGCCCGGGACACCTCCCGTGACACAGCCAAAAGCAAACAATGCGCTGCTTCCCCACTCAGACATCTCCCGCCTGCTGAGCCTGACTACCACCCCCTCCGTCATTGCCTGCCGCCGTCCGCAAGTCCTTCCTGACCCAGACCTTATTCCACGTCTCCTGCTGCCCCACGGGGGCGGGGGCGCCCCAACCTCTACCCCTCCCCCCCGCCGCGGGCGCCACGCTACCCGTAGAGTGCCAGCCCCCCCCTCGACCCAAGCTCCTGCCCGCGACACTACCCCTCCCCCGTCCACCCCTTCCCCACCCTCTTCCCCTCCCGAAAACGCCTCGTCCAGCCGACGCGCCGACGCTCGCCGACGCTACCTCTCCCCTCCCCCGCCCCCCTCTACCGTTCTCCCTCAGGCCCGCTCGAACCCACGTCTGGTTCCTGGCGAAACGGCCACCCATACCTCTACCCCTGCCGGCGGCGGGGGCGGCAGCGGGGGTCGCAGCGGCGGCGGCACCTGTCCACCCTTCTCCTGCCCAGGCACTGCCGTCCCCAGGTACCGCCCACCCTTCTCCTGCCCTGGCACCGCCGTCGCCGCCACCTTGCTGTAGCTGTTGCTGTTGTTGTCGTCCAGCAGCAGCGGCGGTGTTGTCGAGGCTCGGCGACTTCCATGTCAGGTTGCCGCCGCCGACGGTACTCCTGCCACCGTCCTTGTTGTCATCGTTGTCGTAATAACCACCGCCGCCGCCGGCGACAGCACTCCTGTCACCGCCCTTGTAGCCACCGTTGACGTAATCACCACCACCGCCGCCGGCGACAGCACTCCTCTCACCGCCCTTGTAGCCACCGTTGTCGTAATAACCGCCGCCGCCGCCGCCGCCGCCGCCGCCTCCAACCGCACTCTTCCCACCGTCCTTGTTGTCGCCGTTGTCGTAATAGCCTCCACCGCCGCCGACCGCGTTCTTGTAGTCACCGTTGTCGTAGTGACCGCCGCCGCCGTTGTTATTGAAGCCGCCGCCAGGGCTTGCCGTCATCCCGCCGCCGGCGCCCGTGGCAGCAGCGGCCGTCGCGGCTCCGGCGGCGACGCGAAGCGCGGCTGCAAGAACGGACGGGGGGGACGCCGTCACCGGGACCCCTCCCATGGACTGCGCCCAATCCGACCACTCCTGGCTTCCGCCGCCGCCGCCGCTGCTGCTACTGTTGTGCCGGCGAAGGCCGCCATCACCGCCGTGGCCCTTGCCATCCCCAGCACGCGGCCCGAGGCGTCCCCAGATGTTACCGGGCCCACCCGCTGTGGGCATGGCCTCCTCCTCCTCCTCCTCCTCCTTCTTCTCCTCGTCCCCGTTGCCCCGTTGCCGAGCGGAGTCCCCTCCTCCGTGGGTGTACTGCTGCTGGTTTGACCATGATGGGGCCGTGAACCCCGCCGCCGCCGCCGCCGCCGCCGCCGCCGCCGCTGGCCTCGCCCTAACGCCTCCGCCGCCGGTGCGCGGCCGGAACTCCGGGGCGGTGACCCGGAGGCGTGCGCCTTCTGCCGGCGCCCGGTAGGAGTCGGCGGCGGCATCCCCGTCGTCGTGGACGCTGTTGCCATTGCCGTCGTCACCGTCGGTTCTCGCGTGGTGGACGGTGGCTGTCGTGTACCTGGGGTGGAGGACACATGGGAGGTTTCAGGGGGGGATGGGTGATCAGAGTCGCACGCAAGGGTAATCGCAGCAACACCCGTCTTCCATGAGGTGGCAAGACCATATCGTCAACAGCAAAGGTCTAGACATGGCAGATGCTGTATAATCCTAGCATCTAAAGTAAGCAAAGCACCACCGCCACGCATAAACACAACCAAATGGTGTGCCTTACGACAACCATATCAAGCGAGAGAACAAACCACCGCCGCCGCCGCCACGCACACCTACAACGAAACGTGTCTTAAACAACCGAACCAAGCGCACAAGACACCCCGCCACCAAGGAAATGTTCCTTCATCAATCACACGCCACACGCCCGCCCACTCACCCGGGGGCGGCGTCATCACCATCATCGACTCCGTCACCAGGGCCAGCACCACCACCAGCGGAGCTTTTGCGCCTCTTGGACCCACCGCCCCAAGTGGCCTTGGGCGCCGGGGCTCTCGCCGGCTGCAAGCTCTGCATCACGGCGGACGACAGCAGCCGCGCGCCCGGTTGCCCTCCTGCGAAGGCCTTGTGCTGCGGCTGGGAATCATCATCCCCGAGTACCCGCTTTACCCCCCCTTCGCTGGTCCCATTGTCCGCCTCGTCTGTTGCCAAAGGGGGGGACATTCCATTATGAAAAAAAATGTACGGCCGCGTGGCGGGGGGGG